ACCACAAGTACTCCTGTTGTTCTTTTTTAAAGAAAAAATATAATAACCAAGAGTCTTGTTTATGTAGACCTTGTGCAAAAATGTGGGTTTTTTTTTGAAGGAAGCCTAGAGAACAATGAATCAATTTAAGGTGGAATTCTGACAATTTAAGAAAGTGATTTAAAAACTAAGAGTGCAAAATTATAATCTTGAGCAGAAATTTTACTTTAAAGAAAAGAATGCAGACCTATAATATTTAAGAATTCATACTGAGGATCCCACAGCTGACTTTGGAAACTTCTTCTCCATTCTTTCCCTTTTTCCTCCTGCTTTGTCTCTTTGCCCTATCTTTCCCTGCCTCTCTGGTTTATCCACCCTGTTCCTTCCCCCCACACACTCCCCAGCTCTCTCCTTCGTTCTCCCTCATCCTCCCACACTGCATTCTACCTTCCTGTCTTTCCCCTCTCCTCTAATTCCTGAATCTGCTTGTGGGCAGCTGAGGCTGCTCTAACTCATGCCAGGGGCTGAAATGGGTACAACTCAGGGCAACAAAAAGGTGGCTTACAGACACTGTTGTGACCTCCGGCTCCCTTAAGCCCTGCACACTATAGAACTTGCCAAATGCAGAGACTGAACTCTACATGCACTGTTATACCTAGGTATAGTAGGCTGGGTTAAGGAGGTTCAACCTCAACTCTGAATATACTTGCATTGATACATTTAAATCAAATTCTTAACATCCTAGGAAATATTTTTTATTTCAGTTTATCTTACTTAAGGAAAGCCAGGAGAACCATTATTACACTAGCTGTCCATGTATCATGGTCAATAGACCATGAGCTACACTATACACCACCTGTTCTATGTCATGGTTTGAACAAGAAAAACAAATCCTTACAACCTTTAAACAGAAGGCTAGCCATGTGGAGGAATTTCTTTTACTTTTAAAATATTTTCAACATTAACCAGATGATTAAATATGTAGAGAATGACACTCAAAGATACCACTCTATGCAGCAAAGTTAATAAGAACAGAATATGTAATACAATATCAATAACCTTAGATCCAATTACCCATTGCTAAAAATTCTAATATAAACAGTTTAAAGTTCTTGAAAAACAATAAGAAGTTATTAATGTTTCAAATATGACCTTTCTGATAATACAAGAAATGCTACTTAAACATTAGGACAAACCATGAAAACACCTACAACAATTATAAATTACTGTTTTCCCAATTACACTGGTCTACAATTTTTGAGAAGTCGTCTGCTATCAGAGATAAAATGTGCTATTTATTATGTATTTTGATGTGCTGAATTCAAATATGACAATTAAAACAATGGATTGGCTACTGTTTCTAAGATATTTAAGTTTTTACATTTTATGTCTATGTATATTGTGTAGATAGTAGAGTTTTAATCATAAATTGTAAACCTAGGTCTTTTCATGTGTTTA